GTGACTGGATCTGGTGTAGCAATCAGCCAGGAGCTAGTTAATGAGCTAGGCAACTTCGACGTACAGGCCTTCCGCTACGCAGCTGTTACGTGGCTTATTGAGAACAACCACCCTCTCTGCGAGCTTGAAACACCTGCTTTCCGATCGATGATAGGCTTCGCAAGCCCTGAAGCAGAGAGTGCGTTGTGGACGAGCGCTAACAGCGTTAAGGCGTATGCAATACGGCTATATGAGTTCATGTTACCCCTGGTTGTTACTGCGCTGTCTAAAGCTATTAGCAAAATCCATATAGCTTTAACAGGTGGACGACAAAGGGAGGCAAGCGGGGCTTCTTTGGGATTGTTGCGCACTACGCCGACGCATTAGGGACGGTTTTCGACATGCCTATCGCGCTGCCGCAGTTAACAGGCGCCCATACTGGGGAACGGATTGCTGAGGTTGTTGGTCAAACGTTGCAGAAGTTTGGGATATCGCCGCTAAGGCTTGGTTGTTTCGTCCTTGATAACGCGTACGCTAACGACACAGCCGTTACCTATCTTGCTAGGTAGTACGGGTTTACTGCAGCTTACTAGCGCCTACGCTGTGGCCCTTATACGCTTAACCTCATCGGCCAGGCTATTATATTTGGTAAGGATCTAGATTCGTACGATAACGACGCAGCGGAGCGCGCAGAGGAAGAGGAATCGATGACGAATTGGCGCAAGGATGGCCCGTTAGGCGTACTTATCGACGTGATTAACTATATTAAAACGCCCCAACAGTACGATCTGTTCAACCGTTTCCAGCTCCTTACTAACGCCAAGCTCCCCACAAACAATCAGAAGGCGATATTAGAGCTAATTAAGCCTGTTGTTACGCGTTAGAACTTATTCTATAGCTGCTTTGAGCGGGCTATTGAACTACAGCACGCTGTGAGCAATTACGCCAACTATCACATCTAGCACACGCGCAATCTCGACGATATCGCTAAGAGGCGCGGCAACAGGGTTCCTGACGTACCAAAGTGGATGCGATTAGACGGCCTTACAGCCGCAGATTGGGCGGTGATATCGGAGTATACAGAGGTGTTGAAACCACTTAAGCAGGCCACTAAACAGCTTAAAGGGCGCGGTAAATCAGGTCAATTTGGCGCCCTATACTCAGTAATACTGGTGTTCGAAACGCTACTACACGAGCTTGAGCAGCGGGTTAAACTATATAATCACGTCAACTACGAACAGATCAACGCTCCTGAGGATCATCTGCCCATCAACCTCCGCGCCGCCTAGGCTAAAGCCAACACCTACTACTCTAAGCTTGATAGCTCACCATTTTACTACGCCGCAACAATACTCCATCCGTACTACAAACGCTATTGCGATCGCAGCTGGCGCTCAAAGCCAGAGTGGTTACACGCTAACAACGTAGCTTTCCAGCAGCTTTGGCAGCAATACAAGCCAACTAACGCTGTACAAACTACTCCTAGGCCACTACAAAGCGCGCTCGAGGACGCTATCGCCGCGATAGCTGACGCCGACGATAGCAGCGACGACGAGGATATCGACGAGTTCCAACGCTGGAAGAAGCTTGAGCCAAAATGGACGCGCGAGCAGTTCACTCAAGGCTGTGATCCTATCCGTTACTGGATTGAACTACAACCAAAGTATCCCAACTTAGCTAGGCTGGCGTTTGACGTTCTAACGATACCTGCTAGCAGCTGCGAGTGCGAGCGATTGTTCAGCGAGCTCGGTGATCTATTAGAGCTAAAGAGACGCAAAATAGGAGCTCAACTACTAGCTACACTGCAGTGCATTCGAGCTTGGACACGTGCTGGATTCGAACGTCCAACTCCAGGGATCGTCGAGAAACTAGAGGCAACGCGTTCTGAGACGCTGCTGGAGGGAGAGTATGATCTGTGCAACTGGGAGGCGCACCCGCAGTAATCTGCATATATGTTAACTATAATAATTACCCAAGTTACCCAAGTTATGGAAGTTTACCAACCAAGTTGTGCTAATACCGCTTCCAAGTCAAGCAAGTTTCGTTACTACCGCAAAATCGTCCCAAGCAAGTCAAGTGAGCCTCAAAACTTGCTTAACTTGCTTGTTGCGAACTCTGCCTCCTAGTTCGCAGATCTACCTCGCGACTGGATTATCACTGTCTCTCCTACTGGCTGGATTAACAACGACCTCGCGCTCGCGTAGCTTAAGCACTTTAATGCTTATACGAAGGCGTCCTCTGTTAGGGCATATAGGCTGCTTATTATTGACGGCCATGACAGCCACTGCTTAGTAGATTTTCAGGACTACTGCAAGGAGAACAAGATCATCGCTCTCTGCATGCCATCTCACTTATCGCACCTTCTGCAGCCTCTGGACGTCGTCCCCCACTCGCTGTTGAAGCGCTACTATAGCGATGGAATCTCGCTCTTGGCACGCAGCCGCGTCCACCATATTAACAAGGAAACCTTCCTACTAGCCTTTAGAGTAGCTTATAAGAAGACGTTTACACTAGAGAACGTTCGCGCAGGGTTTCGAGGTGCTGGGCTAGTCCCATACGACCTAGAGGTTGTGTTATTAAAGCTAGATGTGCAGCTGCGTACGCCGACGCTACCTGCACCAGGCACTGTCGCCTGGAGGCGCAAACACCGCGCAACGCCCGCGAGATAGAGGCGCAATCTACGCTGATTCGAAATCGCATGCAAAAATACTAAGGGTCACTAGTAAGCTTATTAGATAAGCAGGTTAAGCAGCTAAGTAAAGGCGCTCAGCAGATAGCTCATAATATAGTGTTAATGCGAGAGGACGTAAGCCGCCTTCGAGACGCTGTTGACACGCTTACAAAGCGCAAGACTCGCAAAAGGCGGTACGTACGCGCAGAGGAGACTCTAACAGTTGGTGAGGTATCTGACTTAATTGCTAAAATGGACGGTAGTGGGCGTGAGGACAGCGAGACGCCTGCGAAGAGGGTGCGCGCAGAGAGGCGCTGCGGCCGTTGCAGCGAGGTTGGGCATAACTCCCGCACCTGTAGGGTAGAAATAGAGGATGTAGACAATAGCGATGCCTCTAATTAATATAATCCTGTTACATATAGTATAATAATCTGTTGTAGTGTTATACTGCGTTCCTGTATAGGCACTGCGCTGGTGCTTAGTGGGGCGCTCGATGGGGTGGGGCGCTCGATGGTGAACCACGTTATATATTTTTATAACTTACTATAAATCTTCTCATATCTTACTATGGCTTTCTTTGCAACTTGCAGCGTATGCGCTCTTGTTCTTCAAGCGTTTTTTCGTCGCCCTGCATCTTCAAATTATGGAGGTTGTGGTCGCAACGACAGTCATGTCGCACGCTGCGCTAGGAACCACTTTGGGTCTCACCCCTGCTTGACCACTACCAACCCCATTTTCCGCAATCCGCAACTGCTATGGCGATTAATGCCACTGAGGTGCACATCGTCCCTGATTTTCAGGATGCCTGAGCTTGGAGAATATGTACTCTGGGCTTATCACCGTGTCAAATTGTCGCAGTCTACGTACAGCTTGCTCGGTCCGATAAGTACTCGGTCCTATGTGAACAGAGTTTCACCATAACCCTGCTGACATCCGATCATTCCGGTATATCAACACGTAGACTTACTTCAATTCAACTTCAGTGTTCCTACCAAATTCTACTGCCTAATAGCCTATTACTTAAACCGTGATAAATTAGCACAAGCTAGCTAGCCAGCTAACCATTTGAGAAAAGTCCACTACAACACGAACACTCAACGTTAGAACTAAGAAAATCAAACCTCGAGGGTATATACTTACAACGCTCTATTTTTATTTCCTGCAAGCAGAGTATCCTAACTTTGGGTTGTTGTTGCGTTATGGTGCTTTAAAGGTTGAGTTGGTACGTTTGCGAGGAGGCGCTATGCCGTTTTCAATTTCAACGACAAAACTATCGGTGCCTGCGAAAACATATGGACCCCCCCGGATCTGGGAGAGATCGTCAAGGTGACGTTCTGGGATTAGTATTAGAGTAGTATAGGGGTATATAGAGGTCAAGGATCGGGATTTTGAGCTGTAAATTACATCTTGTTCACTTGTAAACCTCTTGTTATGGGTCGAAAGCTTGAAGCAGGCCTTTTGCAGACTGTTCTCCTTGATCTTTCTTATCAACGTCCATTCAAATGGATCGCTAGGAACCGTAGTGTTGGCCGCAATACAGTGAAGCGTATTGAGCTCAGTCTTGACCTATACGGAAGCCCTTATCCTCCTAATTCAACCGTTCAAGGGAGGCCTCGATTGATGGTGAAGGCTCAGGAGAATGTATGAGGAGAGACGACGACTGCAAACCAGCGTACTAATGCTACAAGATAGGCCCTGCTAGAGTACCTCCGTGAGAAGCCGACGGCGTATTTAGACGAGATGGTTGAGTTCCTATTCGACGAGTACAACCTTGTTATCGCCGAGCGTACCGTCTTTGATTACCTCTGCCGGGCCCAATGGAGTCGAAAAGTAGCTTCAAAGCACACCAAGGATCGTAATGAGCTGCTACGAGAGGTTTTCTACCTATCAACGAGAGGATGGGATCCTATCATTAATGGGCGACGGGATTCAAGGCTATGGCCCAGAATCCCTCGAGAAACCCTAAGATACATGCTTAATAGATGGTACGTTATAATGTACCATTTTATGCGTTAATTTTGTTAGTGATAACATGTACAATCTTCGTGCGAAGAGTTCAGAACGCCCATCGTACCAATATATTTCAAGTAACGTACCAATTACGGTTCTGCACTCAATTTGTACTAAACTTAGACAACATTCTCGCATAGATAGGCTCTTCTATCCATGCGACTTTCAGCACGATAAACCTCGTGGTTGATAGTATTAGGGTTTGGTGTTCGTGGGTGTGGTTGCGCTAGCGTGGAGGACTTGGACAGCCCGCGCAGATGCAGCCAAACAACAAGAGCAACAAGAGCAACACAAGAAGGCAACACACTAACTGCACAACACAAAAGGTACAACATAACATTCACGCTACAGCTTTAAACAACTCAGGCAGCGTCGTCTGGCGCAACGAAGCAGCAGGCGCGCTCTTTGAGCGTGCCTGCGACTGCATAATCTCAACCTGCTCATTGTTGTCATCGTCGTCGTCTTCGACATCGCCGTCGTCGCTATCATCAATCTCTTCCACCCTGTGCGTTGTGCCTGGAGCGTTCAGCTCAATGCTTAGCGTTTTCTTCCCTTTGATATCGCCGCCTGCAATACCCTCTGGGCCCAACCACTCGTCGAACTGCTTGGCCGCAAGGCAGACATCCGGACGCTCCCGCTTGAGCAGCTTGATAAAGACCTCCACGCCCTAGGAGCGGATGGTCTGCTCAATCTAAGTCTTAGGTAGCACGTCTTCTGGCATGACCAGCAACACGCCCCAGCCTAAGCCTTCAGCGATCCTGTACCACTTAACTGCTTTGGCCAGGCGGTTTCGAAAGAGATCCCGCTCGCTCTTAGACAGATTCTGCTTGAGGAACACCAGCGGCATCAGCGTGTCTATAGCCTCTGTCTGGCGTTGACCCTTGCTAAAGCGACTTGTCTTGCTGTTGCTAAGGAGCCTGTCGCTGCGCTTGAGCTGCTCGAGCTTGTCGTTCATAGCCTTGCCTAGGAGCGCCTGCGCCCACCTGTACTTGATGTGCACTGATTTGACTACTTCTTCGTAGACTGTGCAGCGGTCCCAAGCACGGCAGAACACGCCATCTAAGCTGGTCGGCTCGGAGGGACGAATCGAGGGCTCTTGCTCACGCAGCGCATGCGAGGAGAAGTCCTCAGGCGCGCTATCGCCGAAGAGCTTGCCCTGCTTTCGCCAGATCTGCAGGAAGTGAGCAGCGTGCTCCTGAGACGACGGGCTTCCGAGCGCGCGCGCCTTGGCTAAGAAGTCGCGCGCCTTGAGATAGGGCGACTTGACAGCGTTGTAGAAGTCGGTCTTCTTCTGGTGCCTGTCGACAGCGGCCTGTTTAAAGAGCCAGGCTATAACGTCTTTGTCTTGAACTGGCACAGCAGCGTAGGCGCCGCGCTTATCGTCGACTGCCTTCTCGTCTGGTGCTACAAGACCAAGGTCGAGGCTGCGCTCCACCTGGGCAGCCTCATAGGCTTTGATGCGTTGCCGCTCGGCGCGGCGGTTGTTGTTGGTGACTGTGGTGAGAACGCGCTGCTCCTCCACCGGCTGCGCATCTGGCTGCGCTTCCACCTCGCTGGCCGGCTCCTCTGGCTGATGGCTTGCTTCTGTGCGAGCGCGCTTTGGTGACGACGCCTGCGCAGACGGTGCTGGTCGCTTCTCGCGCCGAGCCAGGGGAGAGGCAGGCGGCTTTTGCGCAGACGGCGGCTCAACCATGCCCTCCTCTGCGAGCGATTGGGCCGCGCAGACGAGACGGTCCCAGCTGTCGTTGGAGAGAGCATCGTCCGCGAGCGTCTCGCGCAGCAGCCAGATCGCCGAGAGGGCCGAGTGGGCAACGAAGACAGGCTTGCAGACGCTGGCATTGTCAGGGCCGGGGATCAGCCATCCTGCGCTGTGCGGACGGGCGCCTGGGTCACGCTGCGAGCGCGGGATAGAAGCCTGGCAGAAGAAGAGCTTCTCGTAGTCCTCGTTCGGTGGCTCGTACCCGTGCTTGCGGGCGATTTCAGCGTCGCTAGCCATGGGGAAGCTCCGAGCGCCGCCGTCGAACGCGTCAGCAGCCTTGTACAGCGCAGTAGACTAGTGCATGTTAACTATGTATACTGTACTAGTATGCAGTAGATTCAAGAAAACGATGTACAGAGCGCCGAGGGGGGCCGGTTATTCAAGTCCCATGAAGCGCGCGTATCGCATTCGCGAAAATGACACCGCGCACGGACGTACTACCACAACTAACGAACTAGCGATAGTCCGTTAAGAAAGCTAATAGACCTAAAGTATTACTGCACTAAAAATGTAGGCTATTGAGTTGCTTATCGGCTACTTCCAGCATGGAGGTCTAGGGCGGATTAGATGACGATACGATTGTTTGTTTGTTAACATAAGAAGCTGCGGGGAAGAAGAAGCAATACTAATCTTGCAGAAGACCTATAACCCAACAACCGGACCGATCGGAGATCTAGCCGTGCAACGTGAGTTGACATTGCAGCAGGGGTGCGAAACTTACTTTAATAAGAACGGCGATAACAGCATAGAAAATAAAGAGCAAGAATATCCTAACATGCTAGCAGACGACGAGGAGCAGCAGATTTTCGAGCACTTAGCTAATTATTAGCTTGCCGTGTGCTGAGAGTGCCAGTACGCTGTGTGGCTAGACTAGATTGAGGGCTACTTGTAGAAACAACATAAGAAGTCGCTAAAGAGCGCGTAAGCTGTTAGTAATGCCGTCTGCTAGTAGCCTAGCTTGCTGCAGTACCCTAGTGAGTTGGAGATTCTAAGCAACGGCATTAACCTAATACCTCAGCTGCTAGTGTACGACGATGGTTTGCTGTGTCGACTCGGACTAGCGAGATGCTAGTACATCGCGCGGAGCAGAGAATCGCTTAGAAGGCACTAGCGCGAGGTCCACGAGTAGTTAGCTAGCAAGAAGCGCGGACGCCCCAGCTGGACCCGGGCAATGGCGTTACGGGCCTAACTCGAAGATAGCTGCGAGCGCGTATACTACCAACGATTGTTCGGCAGCCGGCACGGCTTACAGTACTTCGAGGTGCGTCCTACTCCAGACAGCGGCCCACAGCCCGTTCCTACTAAGGGCGAGGCAGCGTGGGCACAGGTGGGCGAAGAGATGGCTAAGACGTGGGCCAACGTCGAGAACCGGGCGAAGACAACGATCTAAGACGGGGAGAAGGATGAGGCGGCCCTATGGCTGGAGCGAACTGGGTGGCTGCCGTACTTGAACAAACTGGATCGTCCCGAATTGCTGGCGAGCATCGAGGAGCCCAACATAGACCTGGAGAAAGACGAGGAACCCGTCGAGGCTGCGATTTGGAACGCCATGGACTGACTGGCCCGCGTGAGCCAGGCGTCGGTCATCGAGCGGACGGGCATATTCGTGCGTATGGAGGCGATCCGGACAGAGAAGCATCAGACCAGGTACACGCCGCTGCAGGCGTACATGGACAACAAGTCGATCAAAGAGCGATCACGCCCGTGGAAGCAGATACTGATGTTTTTTGCACGGACGCAGAGGGAGCACCGTTGGAAGAGCCCCAAGTACCGCTTCACACAGCAGCAGCGCGAGGCGTGGGAGGCATTGATCGAGCAGGCAGAGAGAGACGTGGGCGGGGCAGAGATGGAGGTAGCGGACGAGGACCAGGACGAGGACGGGGAGGAAGAGGACGGGGAGGAGGACGAGATGATGATCGATGAGCTCGACGACGAGCAGGACCCGTCCGAGCGCGACAATGAGCCCGAGCACGCGAAGCTGAGGCCGATTGAAAAAGCGTGCTTGGATTTTTGCATGGCGCTGCTCAAACAGACCATCCGCCGCAAGGAGTACGACTGCGCGTTGGTGTGTGCGTTGGCTGTGCTCGGCGTCAAAGAGGACGGCTGGAAGGACGCTGAGCTGTACCCGCCGATATTGTCGTCGGTGATCAAAATCACCCGTTTCATGGTCGTACAACACGCACTGGAGCTGTCCGAGCCGTTTGAAGAGGAGTTGTTCGACGACGACAGCGCGTACGTGGGGAGCGACAGTGGCAGCAACTCCCCCAACCAGCATCGACCAAAAGGCTGCTTAGAGTTTGTGCAGCAGATGATGGACAGGTTTATGGTGCGAGGCAGCCACAGCCCAATGCAATGGATGCTAGACTTGCGTACGTACGGGCTGAAGGTGCATTTCAACACCACCGCGCGAGGGAACGTCGAGTGGATGGGTAGGGACGAGCTGCTGTACAAGAACGTACACTTCACCATGGCCCAGTTCCGCAGCATGGTGCACGGGATGCAAGCAGAGAGCAAGCGGTTGCTGGTTGAGGAGCTGTTGTTTTGCAATGGGCAGACCGCAGCGTCAGCCCCCCAGGTTCCGTGGGAGCAGCTGCGCGACAACCCGACCGACGACCGACCCGGGTGGAATTTTTTGCAGGACCAGCGCACCCGCATGCCCGTGGAGAGAGGTGGTTGTTCGAGCGGGTGGGGCAGGACGCCACGATGCGGGAGCGGTTCCTCAAGCCAGGCACCCGTTCCGGCATCGACAGGAACGAAGTGGAGCGGTACATGGACCGTGTGGTTGCGTTCCGGGAGAAGCTGCTCGCGCTCATGCACATGACGGCAGGACAGCCCGCGCGGGCGACGGAGATATTGAGCGTCCGACACAGCAACACGATCAAGGGCGGCCATCGCAACATATTCATCGAGGACGGCATGGTCGTGTTCGTCACACGGTACCACAAGGGGTACGCCGTCAGCGGCGACGTCAAGATCATTCATCCATACTTGCCGCGCGAGGTGGGCGAGCTGCTAGAGATACATGGCCAACTCGACCCAGCCCTCAGTCGAGTTAGGGTTTCATTTTAGTTAGGGACTAGATATACCATACTCGGCGTATTATTGAGCATGCGGGCTGGGTCGAGTATTGTTCGCAAGCCGGTCGAGTTAGGTTCCCGCAGGCTAATAGCTCCAAAATTTAGATATATTAATTAGAGCGCTAAGTTGCACGTTAACACGAGTTTGCAGCCCCGCAGCTGATGGGGTTGATGGTGTTAGGGTTTCGTGTTCGGAGGTTGGGGTTAGGGTTATGACGTCGCGATACCCCAGACCCCAGGGTTCGGAGTCGTTCCGAGATAGCGAGCAGCGACCGCCAACGCCAGATACGCGATTAGCTGCATCACGTATACAGGTAGGAAGACGCGTCCACAACGCGATATATAACGTAGAGTCTGCAATAACAGGTAGTCAATTTCAAAGAGTCGTTTCACGCCATATCGTGAGCTTAAATTGTCATTATAACCGTTGTACCACCATGGCAGAGAGCAACGTCGCAGGCGAGCATTTTGCGCATTTGGTCGAGTACGCGTTGGCAGTGTGCAGGGAGTGCCGACACGGCGTTTTGCCCAGCCAGATAAAAAGCCATGTGCAGCGCGCCCATCCCGCTAAGCGGAAGCAAGCGAAAGCCATAGCAGAAGAAGTTGGCAGTTGGGCTGTGTAAGCCCAGGGTACCTTGCATGGTCACGTGGATTATCCAGCGACCAATCAGCCCACTACTCTATGTATATAAGCTTAGATCACAGACCTCTCGGTGATGAAGAAGAATACACACAATCTACTTACAGTAGTACTGTACATAAGCGGCAACTGCGCTGCGCACCTGGTATTGCCAGCAATATTGCCGTATTAATTGTACTGTAGCATCCTAGCTCAGCTTACGAGACGGCCATAGCACGGCACTGTTAGTGATAAGGTTCATGGTCCCAACAGCGCTTGGCCTGCGACAACGTGCCTGGCGTTCCTCTGCTGTTCATGAGTCAGCCTCAGCTGCAGCCCGCCCACCTCAACACTCGCAGCCGCAAAATGCTAAAACCACGCAAGCCCTGATAACCTCCCTCCTGACGAAGAGAGTGGCGTATTCGGGCGCCCAAGGCCGGCATCAGTTCTATCAAGGCGCTCACAACAGGCCACACCTTTTACGCGAAGCTTGTCTGTTCATGTCACAACTTTAGCGCTAGCTGTAACGCTGACGCTAATGCACTAAGTCACTGACTAGAAGCGAGCGCTAGTAGCAAGTGGCGGCTAGTTCCGCACCCCCTACCTCGGACTGGCTCTAGCCGAACGGCTGAAGCGGATCGGCTTGCGCGTCCCGTTATGTAACCCCGCAGTTGGCTTTAACTGCGCGGGTAGTAGGGTTTATTACACTAACGCACCAAAGCAACAATTAGGCTGAAGGTGTTCGTAGTGCAGTACAATTGTAAAGACAATTTCTTAGATGGTGGGTGCTGTGACGGCAATGAACGCGCGAACGTATGTCCTCAATCGTGTGCCTACCCGCAAACTGCCTAATAGTGATACTAAAATTCGCTGACCGGTGTCATGAATTGCGTCGTTGGCGATGCATTGCTGATTAGGCAAGCTGACGTAGACTACAGAAAGCCCAAGCGTCGCAACGTGAGTTAACAGCGAGTGTGTCATCCAGACTATAGATACATTTAAGCTAAGAGCTTGTAGCTATGAGACCTAATGTCGCGTTCACTACAGTACTCGAACGCTTCTATTCTACTGTAGTGTCATAATATTCTGGCCCGCGCGCTATAAAAATGCACGAATAAATAAGCTTTTCTTTCTGTGCTAGTATTAGCTAGACATTAGTAGACGTTAATAGGAAGCACAGGCTTTATTACGATAGGCGCAGTGGATTGGGATTGCTGCAGCCAAGCACGCTAGCTGTAAGGCAGACTTCACGCGCAGAAGAGCGAACTGGTTGAGTAGAAGCTTGTATTCGGAGTAGAGAAAATAGCAGACGCAGAGCCTAGAAGAGGCAGAGCGTACGCGTACTTATATAGCCTAGAGAGAGAAGCGAAGCGAAGGCGTACTAGACCGTAGAAGGTCTAGTAGTTTAGGCCTTCGAAGGTCTAGTAGTTTAGGCCTTCGAAGGTCTAGTAGTTTAGGCCTTCGAAGGTCTAGTAGTTTGCGCCTTCGTAGTAAGACGTAGCCTTTTACTCCTTAGCTCTAAACCTCGTAGTAAGTAGTAGCTGAGGAGAGGCTATGTCCTTACATATGCCCCTCCCGTACAGAAAAGAAGGTAGCTAGTCCACTAGCTAGTAGTATCAACAGATAAGAAGAAAGAAGTCCTTAACCAAGTCCAAACTACTAGACTTGATCTTTACCCAAATCGCTATATGGTTTGTATGGGGCTGCGCATGTCTACACGGTTTCCCATGCAAAAAACTGACCTCCGAGCTGTTTTCCGCCACCTTAACCCCGGAACGCGAAAATCGAGCCGAACGGTGTTCCTACACTATATGGGGAAGGCGTCCTGTAAGGGAGCCGACCCAAGGAGGACTCCGATTCGGAGGCCGACTGCAGCCGTTGTTGACAACTGTGGTGAGACATGCATCCACAACGGCGAAGTTTGGCGGCTTGGGGCGACTTCGACGCACCTCCGCTATCGCGTACGTGGGCTTCAGAACTTTCACGCTAGGTTCTCGTCGCCGCTGGCATACTGATCTTGAAAGTCGCCGGCGTCTTCAGGGAGAGGGGTCCAATCGGGAGGCATGCGGAGTCCAGGGGGCGTAGGCTTACCGGGATGTTTCCAGTGAAAAAGTTTGGCATCATAATGGTCGAGGTAGTCGGCGGCGTCATGCCATGTGGCCTTGGGAAAGTCGGACCATTTGATCTTGTAAGCCCAGCGCCCTTTGACTTTGCTAGCTTTTGGAGAGGCGACGTCCACAAATTCGTCGACCAACCACTCCGTATGGGCATCGCCGTTACTATTGACCACTTCCACAGGCACTGGTCGAGCGGGAGCTTGATCGGGTAAGGCGTCGGTAGCCGCAGGCCGTAGAAGCTTCGGGTGGAAGATGGGGAATGTACCATTCCGAATCATCTCTTCGGGAAGATCCAGCTCGTAAGCGCGGCCGTCGTGAATGATTCTTTTGACGACATACGGCCCTGCCCAACGATCCGTGAGCTTCTTCGATTGTCGAGGGGTAGACCAGTTGACAGTAGAAATCCAGACCTCATTTCCAACGCTGTAAAGGGGAACCGCATGGCGTTTGGAATTAGCCTGAGCGCTCTGCTCCTGCTGGGCCCATCGGAGCTGCTCCTTCAGATGTGTGACCAAATCCGAATGCGAGTCCATCATTTCCTGAGCGCGTATGGCCTGATCGCGGGCTGGCCGTGGCAAGTTGGCTTCTATGTTTTCCGAAGGATGGATACCGCTACGGGGATGATAGCCAAGGTCGGCAAAGAACGGGGTCATACCCGTACTGGAGTTGACCGTATCATTGGCTTGAAACTCTGCCACATGTAGCCAGGACGCCCAATCGTCCTGAGCGTAGTTGATGAACTGGCGGAGATATGTTTCTAAGGACTGATTAGCGCGTTCGGTCTGGCCATCCGTTTCCGGGTGATACGCTGTAGAAAGAACCCGTTTAATATGAAGTCGTTGGCAGATGTGTTTCCAAAAGGGAGCGACGAAGTTAGTACCTCGATCGGAAACAATACTAAGGGGAAGCCCGTGGTGCTTAAAGACGTCCATGAAGCATCGGGCAGCTTCGACCGCGGTTCGCCCGTGGGTTGGATAGAAGTGGCGCCTCTTGGTAAGACGATCCACAATGACCAAAATATTTCGATATTCCCTGCCGTCCAGGCGCGAGGGGGGAAGGTCCTGGATGAAATCCACGGTCACATCTGACCAACGCTGGTGAGGAAGTGGCAGCGGTCGCAGGTAACCGTGTTTGCCGTCCCGTGGGGACTTGGTGCGGCGGCAGATACCGCAAGCGTCGCAATATTTGGCTATAGACTGGTTCATTTTAGGCCAGTAGTAGCGGTCGTACATAAGGTAGAGAGTAGAACGCGGACCCTTATGACCGGCAATTTCGTGGTCGTGGCACAGATCAAAGATCCGTCGTTGGAGGCGTGCATCCGCGGGGATATAGAGCCGGGTCTTATCGATGAACAAACGACGGCTTGCTCCGTCTCCTACTAAGGACAAGTCGGCTGCACTAAAATAGAACCCGTGCTTATGAAACCATTTAGACAACTTGACCTCGTGGGAATCAATGGCTGAAAAAGCGCGGGTAGCCATTTCGTCGCTTGCATACGCAGCGTTCAGGAGTTCCTCCGTGGACCGCGGATCCTCGTCATAGGGCGGAAGGGACGGGTCCACAACACCCTCGGGTGAAGGCAACTCGACGTCCTCTTCCTCTGGGTCGTTTGAGAAAGCCGTTCGTAACACACTGCGTTGTTCAGGCGTTATAACATCATCTGTCTTGCTAGAAGACAACGTGAGGGCGCGTAGAGCCGTATCGAGAGCCGGTTTCATTCCTGGTGACAGCACCTTAGGCCCCAGAATAATAGTTTTCTCCGCATGGCGCGGATCGTCTGGGTCGTCTGGGACGTCTTGAGGGCGGCGGCTGAGTGCATCGGCCTCGTCATTATCCGTTCCCGGGCCGTAGATGATCTTGAAGTTGAATTGAGATAGAAATATCGACCAGCGGGCTTGACGTCGGGTAAGCGTCTTAGTTGACATGAATGTTTCCAAGTTTTTGTGGTCGGTAACAACACTGATCGGGTGACCCGTGCCCATCAGTTCGGGTTCCCACTCCTCGAATGCCCGAATAATGCCCATCAGTTCCAGGTCGTAAATATCGTAATTGCACTCAGCGGAAGAGTGCTTCTTAGAAAAGAAAGCTATTGGCTGAAGCACGCCTTGGTCATTGTGTTGCTTCATGACGCCTCCGGTAGCCCAGGCTGAGGCATCCGTAAAGACATGAATGGGTTTAGAGGGGTCGAAATGCATCAAAACCAGGCCGTCCCGAAAGGCATCCTTGAGTGTGTCGAAGGCTGCCTGACATTCCGAGTCCCATTTGAGCGGATCGTACACGGTGCGTCCCTTGCCGCCCGGAGTTTTGTTGGGTACCACCTTGGCTTTAATCCGTTTGGTAAGGGGGAGGGCGATTGAGGAGTAGCCTTCAATGAACCGCCGGTAGAAGCCTGTGTAGCCGAGAAAAGCCAATAACTCCTTAGGGTGTTTAGGCGCTTCCCAGTCGCGAATGGCGGATACTTTGGCAGGGTCCATCTCCATGCCCTTGTCCGTGATGATCATTCCCAGAAACTTGACGCGAGTAGTGTGGAACTCCGATTTCTTAGGATCCACATAAAACCCTTGAGATTTCAGTTGAGAGAGCACAGCTTTGACGTGTGTGACATGTTCCTCCCGAGTAGTGGAATAGACCAAGACGTCGTCTAGGTAGGCGGTGCAGAACTGATCGAGATAGGGAAACAGTGCACTATTAATAGCGCGCTGAAAAGATGCGGGAGCATTGCACAAGCCGAAAGGCATGACTTTGTACTCGTAAGTCCCTTGGCGAGTAGTAAAAGCGGTTAGCCATTCAGATCCAGGTTTCATGCGAATGCGGTGAAAGGCATGGATGACGTCGAACTTTGAAAAGATCGTGGCCTTGTTAAGCTTCGCAAGCGTCTCGCGGAAGAAGGGTATAGGGTATCGATCCTTAACAGTGGCGTCGTTGAGATCTCGGAAATCCACACAAACCCGTAGGCCTCCGTCCGGTTTACCAATGATGAGCAGCGAGTTCCTCGCGGGCGACTTGGACGGGCCAATGAAATCTCTTGACTCCATGTCTCTGACATAAGCCGCAATGGCTTCTTCTTGCTGGCCTGAGAAGGGTCGTGGCCGATGATTGGGGATTTTGGCTCCTGGCTCGAGCTTGATCTCATGGTCGTGCTCCGAATGCTCCGGTAATTTAGACGCGGCCGCCTTGTCGAAGACGGGGATGAAATCAGAGTATTCCTGAAATAGTTCTGGCGTGAGAATGTCTTCAAGCGTGACATCGGGAGGCTTGTCCATGAACTTGGCGAAGTCCTCGTCGACTGCCGCGCGTCGGAGCCGCGGGGCTTTGCCCTGCTGGAGGGTCATGAGGCATGGGTCTGTTCGATATTTCCTAGCCATACGGCGTATAGCCTGAAGTGAAACCCTTTTGATCTCAACCTTTAGCGGGTCATGAGGTGAACCCCCAGGTGTCGCCTTAGTCTTGTCCGGGGGGGCCTTGTTGCGTTTGGGATCCCGGGGCAGTTGTGGAATATCTTTGTCCTGGAACTCGGCTTCCAGACTGCGAGAATCCGTATTCCGTCCGGCGGTACCACCAGGGTGGACGTCGGCAGGAGTTCGTGCTTCTGAATCGTGGTCCGCGTGAGGGCGTGGAGAGAGCTGGTCACAGTCCTTCTCCCTGCCTTTGCAAACGACTAGTGGGGAAGAGTCCTGAAGCCAGCAATTGAGCCTACAGTACTCATCTGGGAACGCAATCGTACCCTCGCGGTAGTCTAACTTGGGCTGGTGGAGTTGACGCCATTTGAACCCAAGGACTAAATCGAATGACCCACAGGTGTTTACCACGTAAGCCATAGAGCGCTCGACGTGAGTGTCCATTTTGAGGAAGAATTCCACACGATGGGTGATAGACTCAGAAGCCTTGCCATCGTAGCCCTCGCATATGACGGGTTGGACGAGGGGAATGGTCTGGAAGGTTTTCACCTGGCGTAGGAACTTTTCCGAGATAAAGTTGGAGTCTGCTCCGTCGTCGGCTAAGGTTCGACACCCATGCGGAACGGCGTAGGTGCGGCCAATGAAGGACTGAAAGGAGAATTGCGTAAGCCGTCGTGAGACAGGTAGAGCCTTTGATTCCCAGGCGGAGACGCGTCGGAGCAGCTGGGTCGATTCTCCTGGGGTGATACCCATGTAGGACGCGGCTAAGGCGTCTTGCCACGGCCTTGATTGAACTCCAGGGGGCGGCCGATCCCGAGGAGCTTTTAGTTTTCCGAGCTGTCGCCGGAAACCTCATCTCCTGAGTCGTATTCGTCGACTGACTCGTCGTCAAAGTCTTGATCCGGATAGGTAGAAATCTGACGTTGGGCCGTGGTGGGATCCTTAGATCCATCTGGCTTTTTGTTGACCGGACAGTCTCGAGCCATGTGCCCGACTCCGCCACAAGTAAAGCAAGTCTTACCATCGTCGGGTGTGGACTTAGCGCGGGGCTTCTTAGAAGCGTCGTCTGGTTTGGGGCGGCCCATCGTTCGCGGGGCTGACGAGGTTGGAGTCTTAACGTCTGCTGAAGAGGTGAAAGTCGAGGCGGTGTTAAGGCCCTGGCGATTCCGATTAGCTACTCGTGCGAGCCACGTAGAAAGTTGCGTCGAGTCGTAAGTTGCCATGTATTGCGTAATGTCGGCGAGCAACTTGGAGAACTGCGCCTGGTTCGTAGGCGAGGGTTTGAGCAACGTGAGGTTTTGCGTATGACGGTGAGGCAGCTTAGCCATAAGCTTAATGCCGCGTGACGGATACGGGATGCCGAGATTAGCCACGAATTGGCAGAATTGAACCTTAAAGGTAGCCCAGGCTTCCTTGTCCGTCTTCGCATCCTCTGGGACGCGGGGATAGGTGAGGTTAGTGAGTGCTTCTTCATTTGTGGCGTACGGGTTCAGGTCGCCCCAAATATCCCACAGCGCAAGGAAACACTCCATTTCCGTCTTGTACTGGCAGCTAAACTTCGTAGCACCGCCCGCCAAGACATCCCGAGCTTCTCCTGAAGTAAAGGAGAACAAAGACTGAACACGTTGGAGAGGGTGCTGGAAATTCTGTCCGTTAGCCGCCCAATACGAGTACATAGAACTAATGAACTCATGCAACGCCTTCGTGCCCTGCTTAAAAAGGCGTGGTTTAGGGGCATTGCGGTCTTCCGAATTGGCAAACTGCGGCATAAGATCGAGCAGGTTCTTAATCTCCTGAAGCCCTGGAGGAATGACGATAGCCTCCCCATTTACCACGATAAACGGGTCATCCTTGGTAGTAAATTCTGGTGAATTATAGGACATGTGTCCAAAATCAGGAAGACGAGTAGCGGCAGCTGGGTCGCCGCGGCGTAAGATCGAAACTGGGGGTGTAACCGTTGCGTATTCCGTGGCAGGATTAAACGGAGGGACTGGCGGATAAGACGCGGGGATGTCTGCCTGAGCCTGTTCTGTCTTATACAGAGCGTCACGTTGGGCTAAGTGCAGTTCATTCTGAACCGTGGTGAGCTTAGTTTGGAGTGCCGCATAGCGGTCCTTCCACTGCTGAGCCGCATTAGCCGCCTCATTGCGTTCCTTCCGTTCCTGAATAAAATGCTCTCGAAATTTGTTCTTGTCCGTATGCTCTCGAATCTTGAGACGGTGATTATCATAAAAGGCCATATAAAATCCCGAGGCTAGTCCCGCGAGAAGCTGTTGTGGCATACTATAGAAATCAGTGGGAAGCATTGTTGGAGGCAATTCCTCCATACAAGCCTTGAACCAGGTAGCGAGAGGTTCGTGAAAGGCTTGGACCTGCGTTTGAACCAGGCTCCGCATGTCCTTTCGCTTGTGGGGAGTGTCCGTAAACATGTCGTCTAGCCACGTGGGAGATTTCGAGGTGGGGTCTGTCACTGGCGGAACTCGACCGGCTAAATCGTCCGTGGGTCTAAGGTAGTTGTGTCTAAATCCCAGGCCCACCCGTGAGCTGCGGGTGGCGGAGAAACCCGGAACTGGCGCCGGGTCCCCAGGAAAGCCCATAGATACGCTTGGCGCGGGATCAGGAATGTCGTGATCGAATGGCGGCTGGGAAGACGTATCCTTTTCGCCCGACGGAATAACGAGCTCAGGGGGGACCTCCGTGGGATGGTCAGACTCCTCAGAGAGCAAGTCTTTAGGGGCTATCGTGGGCGCCGTCTTGACTGGATCCACCAAAGCGCCCCGAGACATCGAGCGAGTCGTGCGACGGGTGGGCGGCGAACGCTGTACCTGGCCGCTAGGCGCGAAAGCTGAGGCCGCGGGCGCCTTACGGGGGGCTTTCGGCCGTGAGCGCTTTCCTTCATTATCTTGATTGTCCATAGCGAGAAGTCAACTTTGAGGAAGGAAGTCTGTAATCGGTGGTTGAGTCGAGAGTGTATCGAAAGGTAGTGGTCGAAATAAATTTTGGTGCGCAGATTTATAAACTGCGGAGCGAGGAAAAACACTGTAGGCTGCAGCCTTCCATTGTCGTTCAAGGTGTAAGGCCACAACGCAGGCCGTGAAAGAGATTTCCGCCCTCGTGGCGTACTTTCCTCGACTCACTCCCGGCTGATGGCATTAGACGCCCCAATCCAAGCCCCTCGGGCGACGAACTAGGCTCTAACATGTCGTTGGTGGTAGGGCGAGCGTGGCAAAGGCCGTATACTCTAGGCTGTTGGTTAGCAGAAGGCTGTCCCGTAGCTAGCTATCCCTCTGGATAGGGTCTGAATCTGTACCTGCGCCAGCAGCAATAGTGCCTCCAAAAAAACCAGGTCTAGCCTGAATTTTTTGAGGTATTCTTGCTGTCCGAAGGCGCCAGACTCAGCAAAGAGCTAGCTACCAAAGCCGCAGTTCTGCGCAACAACCAAGAGCAAGTAAGCGCTACTTGCGTGGTCTAGGCTGGAAGCCTGCAGGAAGCTTTTAAGCTTGTTAGGTCTGCTATTATGTAAGGCAGACTTCACGCGCAGAAGAGCGAACTGGTTGAGTAGAAGCTTGTATTCGGAGTAGAGAAAATAGCAGACGCAGAGCCTAGAAGAGGCAGAGCGTACGCGTACTTATATAGCCTAGAGAGAGAAGCGAAGCGAAGGCGTACTAGACCGTAGAAGGTCTAGTAGTTTAGGCCTTCGAAGGTCTAGTAGTTTAGGCCTTCGAAGGTCTAGTAGTTTAGGCCTTCGAAGGTCTAGTAGTTTGCGCCTTCGTAGTAAGACGTAGCCTTTTACTCCTTAGCTCTAAACCTCGTAGTAAGTAGTAGCTGAGGAGAGGCTATGTCCTTACACTAGCATGCGTATCGCAGGTTACATAGCGCCTTTGCTGATCTTGTGACTTACTAGATTGCAGGAGTGTGAGGAGTAGTTGGGCAGGCACTAAGATATCGGTATAGGCTTGTATTGAGACGAATCCTTGAGGAGCTATCAAGCCTCTCAGAGGGATGATATATACCTACGTCACGTGATTGTGGCTGGTGTGATCCGACGGTGCCCCGAAGGGTTCCCGGTGGCTCACCAGTCTGTGGCTGGAATCCTGTGGTGATGGAACATCGTGACAAGGAGACAGCTACTAGTACGTACAGCCGCTCGCCTCGCAACGCATTAGGCTAATGTACCCGCCTAGCCGCAAGCCGCGACATAGATTCGTCTTCTTCTCTATTGGTCTTGGCTAGCAGACGCCCCAAATCTGCTAATCCCCTTGTGCAGCTTCCGTCGTGTTAATGCAGGACGTTGCAGACTTTGTCTAAGTAAGTTATTATAAGTTATACTAAACATCTACTCTAGGTGTAGCTAAGAGCTTTCTAAGAATAGATATAATTATAAAAAGCATGTGACATTGTCGTTCCTATTTCCCTTGCGTGCGCCTTAGACTAATTAATGCGCTGCATCTTGCGCCTAATTACATGCCGGCCTTATCGCCGTCTGTCACGGTAACCACCGTGGTTCCCTTGACACTGAACGCGCTACAGAATCCGAGTGCTCCGCTAAGCACCCGAATTCTGCTGATTGGCCGGCCGGGCCTAGCGCCATGCGCACGGCCCCCATCGATAACTTCTCACCGCCTGTACATGCTAATTCTGTTTCCTTACGCAACGTCTTGTATTACACCAGATATCGTACGTAGCCACAATTAACGCTTCTAGTAAGCTCTTAAACACGTGCTCGTAGCATCTCGTGACATAAGCCCTAGAAAGGGTCATTATAGGTAATTATAGGGTATACTAACACCCTAGTGCCCTAGTAGGGGGCACAATAGGGCATTCTAGGTTACTTACCTCTTAAGTACCTGCTTAACGCCCTAAAGCTTACGCTAAATCTTAGCCTCCTAAAGTAGGCGCTCATCTTTAGTAAGATCTTAAATAACCTTATTCTCATTACTAATACTAGGAATTGTAACTTAACCTTCACGAAGCTCCTTAACTAGAACCTTAATAGCGGCTAGGTTAACGAACTAGCTGTTAGGAGGCTAGAAAGGGTTAGAATAGCCCGTAATAATGCGGGCTAACCCCTTCTACGCTAAAAAGGCGCTATAATAGGGTAGAACGTGCTAAAAGGGGCTACTTACAGCAATACAGGGGCGATTTATTAGGAAACAGCGCTTATACTTAAGGATCTAGACAGCACTAGGCAAACTAGGGATGTTGCGAAGACGTCCCTTAAAGTTAGCCCTGTTATAATTGCTAAGGATAGGGAAATAGTAGCTATATTAGCCTAGGTAAAGGAATTTACTAGCAACCTGAGAATAGAGGCAGCTAGTGTAGACCTAGAACAAAGACTAAGTGCTAGCACTAGGAAGATAGCTGTTAGAGGCCGCTAGCTTAGAGAAACTAGCTATAATAAGCCGTACTAGGCTGATATAGGGATAGTTAAGGCGAAGTAGGCGGATAGGGTCTGATAGGGCGTAAGAGGGCGCCTATAGGCCAGTTAGCCCCATTCTCACCTATATCGCACTAGAAGGGGCTATTTTGGGCCACCTTGGCGTTACCCTCCTCTTGCCTAGAATGGGGCAAAATACTCACAATTAACGGTCGAGGGGAGTGTAGAATAGGAAAGATGGTCTAGATCGGCCAGGAATACCTAAAAGCTTGGGCCTTCGCTTAGCTGGACCCTGAATCCTAGGTAAAGGTAGATATTCTAGAGTTTTTCGAGAATTCCTAAATCGGTTGGGGTGAAGGTGAAAACTACACCCGGAACTCGGGCCTGCCCTATCTAGTCACTCTTTTTGATACTAGGCGTAGTAGGCCCTGTAAGGGCTATTACAGACTACTATAATCTAGTTTAGGCTAACTGTGCCTCGATTGGGTTGATCGACTCTAAGAAGGGGAATAATGTTAGGCACTAGGTTACTCTGGGCCCGTTCGGGCCGTTATGCCAAGCAATCGCAGTATATTAGCCTACCTTACCGCTGTTGTAGCTCGACAGCGGTTCGTCTCTAGTCTTACAAGGCAATATACCTCTACCTCTACTATCGCAGTGCATCTCGTATCTATAAAGACTCTATTGCTTGACAATGGGAGCCACCTAACAGAAGAATTTCTTGAGTATTGCCACAGGCATAAGATACTATTAGGTATCTATCCACCTCACAGCACCCACACGCTGCAGCCGCTCGATGTGGTGATGTTTAAGCCTCTCAGCACAGCATACTCAAAGAAGCTGGCAACACGCCTTCACAAGCATCAAGGCTTAGTGCTTGTAACTAAGGCTGACTTCTTTGGCCTATTCTGGGACGCTTGGGCGAGCAGCTTTACCGCAAAGAACATCTTCAGCTCGTTCGAGGCAACTGGTGTACACCCCTTCAACCCCGATGTCATACTCGATCGCTTCACCAACGACGACTCAGACACCTCTAGCAACGCGTCAGAGGAAGCTCCTACATACGGCGGTGAGGCGTGGCAAAAACTAAACACGGTTATGAAACGTGCGTTGGGTGGTGCCTCAGAGAAGGATGCATCTATCGTTCGACAATCGCTCCACCATATGGCTATACAGAACACCCTCCTGCAGAGCGAAAATGAGGGTTTGCTTGACGCCCTTACTGTCAAGAAAAGGAGAGAGATAAAGGGCAAGCCTCTTGACCTGCTGCAACACTATGAGTACTGGGGTCCTTCAATGATGTGGACTCCTCGGTCATTTAGAGAAGCCAAAACCCGCATGAAGCTTGCAAGGGAGGAGAGAGAGGCAGAGGAGAAGAAAAAGGCTGACATGAAGGAGCTTGCTAAGGCTAACAAGCTATACAACGAAAAGATTGCGCAGGAGAAGCGTGATGCGCGTGCGAGGGAGAAGGAAGAGCGCGACTGGCTGAAGGCTGAGAAGGCTAAGGAAGTTGCTGAACGCAAGGCAGAGAGAGAGCGCCAAAGGCAAGCTCGCGACCATCAGAAAACTATCCAAAAGCCGCCTACAGGCAAGCGCAAGGCTTCACAACAAGCAGCACCAAGGAAGAAGCAGAAACGTAGTACTAGAGATGATGTGGGTGGTGCCTCGCGCACGGCGCGTACCCCAACACCGCCACACCAAACCAACACTCGCGGCCGCAAAATCCTCCGGCCAAGAAAGTATTGGTGAGAAAGTTTGTCGCATAGGTCTATAGAGTACTCTGTTAAGTTGACTTATAATAACCACTTATGTGTGTGGCTCTACAGCCTCAATTTTGTGCAGTCCGTTTTGGTGATGCGCGTGCATTGACTGACGGCGTGCATTGTGTGCACGGACACGGTAGCAGCTTGGCGCGCTCTTATTGGCTATCTGGGTCAGCGCCGTGACAAGGCCAGCTGTCGCACGGTTGGGTGCGGTGTTGCAAGTATGGGAAATCATGAAGAGTGTGTAAGTTATTGTATTGTTCTTGCATCATAGCTCAGCTTATATTCAGGCCCTCGCACGGCATGCTTAGTAACAGAGTTTAGGTTCACGAAAGCGCTTGGCATGCGACACCAGCATTTCATAGTAGTAACACGTACAGAGTTTGCTACCCGCAACTCACACGCCTAAAACTAGCTTTGATATGCACTACATTACTACAGTTACTCCGTCTAGAACGGAGGTTGCTATTCCTATACACATCGCGCATTCCATGCCAGAAGGTCCGCTCCTACTACAGCATGCTATACCCTATCTACTCGCAAGCGCACACAATACCCATATTCATTTGGGTGATACGCAATCAACGCTGTCGTACCAGCTCCGTCGTCAGGACTCTTCGTTGCCCCAATACGCATGCCCTACTGCTCCCCAACAAAAACATGTCAGGTTTATACCTGTTCAAGGCCGCCCACGCTCCGCAAATTGCCTGCCTCCTCCGCCTCAGTCCACGGGTAAAGATACCCAAACTCGTGCTTGCCCAGCATTTCCTCCCATTTCATAATCCTCTCGGAAGGAATGCTTACCTCATCGCTCGCCCTCAGCGTGGTCGCGTCAATATAGCAAGACCCTCCGGTTGCAGCAGTTTTAACCACTCCACTTCCTGATCCCAGGATCCCTCCCGTGCCCCAGTCGCCCCGTGCAATGTCTACATATATCATGCCATAGGAGTTCAGTGAGCCCAAACCATCGCCGACCCTTCAGGTCTCGTCAAAGTGCACTGACCCGTAATTCATCCTTTCATGTGTGTTCGCAAACTCAACGGCACAGCAGGAGACAACCAATCCACCCGCAGTGCCATGGTCTTCCACGCATCCCCATTAATAACGCACCCTTAAGCGAGATCTTCTCTCCACAATTACGGAAAGTGAACCAATAGGAGATGGCAGTGCAGCGGCCCCCAACTTCCAACGCATCCTTCCAGGCAGCACCCTCCGTGCGTTTGCTTGGCTTACACTTGCCGAGGCTCTTCCACAAGTGGAATGGTCTGTCCCATCAGTCAATTCCGTTCCCCGCCTCCGAAATTTCAGATTCTGAAGAATACTGAACATTGGGATAAAAGGAACCCTAACCCTGACCCTTCCTATTGATAGGTTATAAGCCCTTACCCGCTACCTCGACTGCGCATGCAAGAAAGCTGATAGCGAGCGCACGTACGACATCAGTCCGTCCTCCGACATCAACAGAACTCTTACCGACACGTGGCACAGTGAACAGTCTTCAACGCTGTCACTATTGCCCACGTACACACCGAAAATAAGACATTGTATGACAATTCCGGCCTTGAGCGCATAAGTCTTATTTCAACGCAGCTGACAACGGAAAGGGAAACCGAGACTTCCAACGAAATTGCATAAAGAGAACATAAAGCGTCCAATAAACATGGGTCTGCTACCTGTAACAACCGCTACTTTGCTGCTACAGGCAGCGGAGCTGTTTGTGGCCTCAGGGCTGCTAACTGTATGGACCTGGACGACCTACAACCTGGCGTACGGCGCAAGCGCGAAACGTGACCAACGGAGATGGGAGCAAGTCAAAACGGCTATAAGCTCTTTCACAGCCGGTAGGCTATTAGAGGGCACACTCATGATACTACTTGTTATTTGCCTCGGTGTGGCAGGGTTCTACACAACCATAGTGCTTGCCGGCCTTGATATAACACGTGACTTCTCTTTTCAGAAAGAATTCACATTGACTGGTCAGCTTGGACCTTATGACTTCCTGTCATCAGACTTGAACAGCTCACTGTGGAGCCTTACTTCCGAGGGACTGGCTAGAGAGGACTTCAGGGTGTCACTAGCTGGCCTAGGAGCATGGAACCTGGGAGATCTGCCAGCCACGCGGGTGCCTTTAAACGGCTATGTACTGGTGAATGACTCTGCGGGCACGACATGGACAGCAGATGGTCACCTGGTGGGAGACTGCAACGAGGTGCGAGGCATTACATACCGCCAAGTGGGTGATTGGGACATAGTGACAGGGACGAACTGTTCTGAACCCCCGGATCCTAGGGCGCGCACATCGGTAACCGGAGGGTGGTTCGCAACGAAAGACATGGGCAACGTTTACTACAGTAGAGACCTGTTCCCTGATGTGACCACTCCCTTGGCCGAATTGAAGCAAGACGCAATGTATGAGTACAGAAGTGTATTGGTGTCGGAGCAGCCAATCAACGAAATAATGGAGCACAGAATGACACTGTTATACGCCACAGAGGTTGGCGAGGGGGCGGTGGAACAAACGTCCTTCAGGGAAGAAGCTGCACAAGCCCTATTGGAAGCCCGCCCTGGAGACCTGTTGGTGCGCAGGTCGGCCAATGTAACAGACGGTACAGTGTTAGAAGAAGCTTTAGTGCTGCTCTTGGGGCGAGAGGATACCCCGACCATCACCGGCTGGAACATGACACGATCCGCAGCTCATTACAAGTCCGACACTGCACGTAATAGATTCGCAGAGCTTAAATGGTTCAGTGCGGGCAGAGTCAAAGGGGGCGATACAACAGGAATGGTAACCGGTACACAACCTGATATTGACGCCGACAGGAGAGCAATGTTGAGGTTACTCCTGGAGGTGCAGCGGACGGGAGTAGTAATTGCCAGCAAGGCCCGCCTCGGATACACGGAATCAGCAATCTGGATCGCTTTTGCTATACCGTTACTGCTGTTTCTGATATCAGCAGCGTGGGCAGCAAGCATGCCCGCCTTCGTCACGAATTCAATCACGGAGAACTTGTTTGTATGCAACAACCCGGAATACGACGACTGTGCTTCGAATAAAAAAGAGAAAGGTTGGCTGTCTGCCGAGAGGTGGGCAAGCAGCGATATATCTGCTTCTAGAGATGCTAGCCACGTTATGATAAGGATAGGGAACAAAACGCTGGTCCCCCAGGTCGTGGAAAGTCGTTTCTGCGATGCTGGAGCTGAAACGCCATTATCGCGCATGTCCTCAGCGAAAGCGTATTGTCGCAGCGTCATTGACAGGCAGGAGGCAGTAGTCCGCGCCGGAATGACGTTGAACTAGCAAGCAGTGGTTCACCTGCACACGAGTCGATGTGCGGTAATGCGTAAGCAGGTAATAAGGACACACCAGTCTAGACGACCACGTGGGGCCCTAATCAATATGAGGCGACGGGGATACCTATCCCCACGCCGAACGTGGCTTAGCGTTAGGGTTTTCTGGCCCGAAAAGGAAAATCAAGGGGTTTCCCCGCCCAGTATCCCCGCGTACATTGTTATATTATTTCCATCACTTTGTGGTGCGAATCGATTTGTACGCGTTTTGCGAGTAATCTGAGACTGTTTTATCTATACTTCACTATAGTTTTGGCTTTGCCTAGGAAAGGCGAGACGCGAATGGTTTTAACAGTGCCGAGAACAGGAAGGCATAGTCGCGATAGAGCGAAGCAGGCAAAAGAAGCTTATACTAGGCTGCTGTGAAGGCTGCCTGTCAAGGCAGTGCATGCGACCAGGCTGAGCAGATGCTGGGCACATCGAGCATCCTGCGCCGCCCAGCCTCACAACTTGCGCTGGACAGCGTTCGCTATGTAAACGCACAATAGACTACTGCGCACGTAAGCAGAGTGCCAGAGGGCAGAGCAGTCCTACCTAAGTTACCATCGTAGCGTCTCGCAAGACTTATGTTAACGAGGAAGGGTGCGCAGCGATGTAGGTCGTGTAGACGTAAAGATGCTATCTTGCTGCGCACACTTTGCGCACTATTCCGCAGACATTCGACGAAAAGTTAATTGCTTTAACGTGGTTCACAAGCGAGTCGCCAACACAAGCGGGTCGCCACCCCAACACCAGCGCGACGCCTGCGCAACAACGTAGTGTAGCACCAGAACACAATATTGTACTAACCTGTTTCACCAGCGAGCGGCCCACCCCACCGAGCGGCCCAGTTCCCCCACCAACACGCGTACCTAGCAACAACACGTAATGTCTCAACAACCACAACCTCTCAAGGCTTATACTGAAGCTGATGTGCAGCTTGCCCTCTTAGACGTTAAACGTAACCAAATTCCAAGCCTGCGGCGTGCGGAGGCAGTCTACAAAGTCCCAAAGACGACGATACGACGGCGACGCGACGGGAAGCCCTCTAGACGCGACTGCGAGCCAAACTCAAAGAGCCTGACGAAGCTAGAAGAGGAGGTGATTGTACAACGTATACTTGATGAGAATCTGCGTAGAGTACCGCCCTCGAAGCTACACGTACGAGATATGGCTGATAGATTGCTGCGCGATCGCGGCGTCAAGTCTGTTGGCAAGAACTGGGTTGACAGGTTTATCCAGCGTACACCTGAGCTGCGCACGCGCTAGAGCCGTCCATACGATCGCCAGCGAGCTCTCTGCGAGGACCCAGCAATTATTAAGCCCTGGTTCATGCTAGTTCAGAACATGAAGGCGAAGTACAGCATTATAGACGACGACATATACAACTTTGACGAGTCTGGCTTCCTGATGGGCAAGATATCGTCGCAACTCGTAGTGACAGGCATAGACAAGCCTGGGAAAGCAAAGAAGCTTCAGCCTAGTGATCGCGAGTGGACTACGTTGATACAGGGCGTCAGCGCAATAGGGCGCGTTATCCCACCCTTCCTTATCTTTGCCGGCAAGGTTCTTATCTCTAACTAGTTCACTGAGGACCTCCCACGCAACTGGGTTATTCAAGTAAGCCCAACAGGCTGGACAAACAACGATCTAGCGCTTGCTTGGCTTAAACACTTTAATACGCATGCGAGGCCTGTAGGAGCGTACAGGCTGCTTATTATTAACGGCCACGAGAGCCATTGCTCAATAGATTTTCAGGATCGCTGCAAGGAGAAGAAGATTATCGCCCTCTGTATGCCTCCACATTCGTCGCACCTCCTGCAGCCGCTTGACGTTGCCTGCTTCTCGCCGTTGAAGCGCGCGTACGGCGATGAGATCTCAGCCTTGGCACGCGATCGCATCCACTACATCAACAAACAGACCTTCTTACTAGCCTTTAAAGTAGCTTTTAAGAAGGCATTTACAAGAGAGAATGCTTGCGCAGGGTTTCGAGGCGCTAGATTGTGTCCACATGATCTACAAGCCGTGTTATCAAAGCTGGATGTGCAGCTGCGTACGCAAACTCCACCACAGCAAGATGACGCCGCTTAGGAGGCGCAAACACCGCGCAACGCCAAAGAAATGGAGGCGCAATTAACGCTGATTCGAAACAAAATGCAAATCTATCGAGGGTCTCCAGCAAGTTCACTTAACGAGCAGGTGCGACAGCTAATAAAAGGCGCGCAGCAGATAGCTTATGAGATAGTGTTAATGCGCGCAGAGATGGGGCGCCTTCGAGACGCAACAGAGACGCTTACTAAGCGTAAGAGTCGCAAGAGACGCTACGTACGGGCAGAGGAGACACTGACAGTTGGCGAGGTATTAGACTTAATTGCTGAAAAGGAGGGTGGCAGTCGTGAGGAGGGTGAGGAGCCGGCGAAGAGGGTGCGCGCAGGGCGACGCTGCGGCCGTTGTGGCAAGATTGGGCATAACTCTCGTACGTGCAAGGTAGAAATTGAGGATGCGAATGATAGCGACGCTTCTGAATAATATTATACTGTTGCAAGAGTATAAAAATTGTGTTGTGGTGCTAAGCTACGTCGCTGCGCGTACGCTTCGCTGGTGTTCATGGGCCGCTCGGTGGGGTGGGCCGCTCGCTGGTGAAACAGGTTATAGGTAACAGATTACTATTACTCAGAAGCGTCACTATCATCTACATCCTCTATTTCTACCTTGCAGGTGCGAGAGTTATGCCCAACCTCGCTGCAACGGCCGCAGCGCCTCTCTGCGCGCACCCTCTTCGCAGGCGTCTCGCTGTCCTCACGCCTACCACCGTCCATTTTAGCAATTAAGTCAGATACCTCACCAACTGTTAGAGTCTCCTCTGCGCGTACGTACCGCCTTTTGCGAGTCTTGCGCTTTGTAAGCGTGTCAACAGCTTCTCGAAGGCTTCTCACTTCCTCTCGCATCAACACCATATTATGAGCTATCTGCTGAGCGCCTTTACCTAGCTGCTTAACCTGCTCGTCTAATGAGCTTGCTGGTGACCCTTGGTGGTTTCGCATGCGATTTCGAATCAGCGTAGATTGCGCCTCTATCTCGCGGGCGTTGCGCGGTGTTTGCGCCTCCCAGGCGACTGTGCCTGGTGCAGGTGGCGTCGGCGTACGCAGCTGCACATCTAGCTTTGATAACACAACCTCTGGGTCGTATGGGACTAGCCCAGCACCTCGAAAGCCTGCGCGAACATTCTCTGGTGTAAACGTCTTCTTATGAGCTTCTTTGAAGGCTAGTAGGAAGGTTTCCTTGTTAACATGGTGGATGCGGCTGCGTGCTAAGAGCGAGATCCCATCGCTGTAGTGGCGCTTCAACAGCGAGTGGGGGACAACGTTAAGAGGCTGCAGGAGGTGCGATAAGTGAGATGGCATGCAGAGAGCGATAATCTTGTTCTCCTTGCAGTAGTCCTGGAAATCTACTAAGCAGTGGCTGTCATGGCCGTCAATAATAAGCAGCCTATATGCCCCAACAGAGGACGCCTTCGTATAAGCATTAAAGTGCTTAAGCCACGCGAGCGCGAGGTCGTTGTTAATCCAGCCAGTAGGAGAGACAGTGATAATCCAGTCGCGAGGTAGATCTGCGAACCAGGAGGTAATAAGGACCTTCCCCGCAAAGATGAGGAAGGGCGGGATAACGCGCCCTGTCGCAGAGGCGCCTTAGACTAGAGTTACCCACTCACGATCGCCAGGCTGTAGTTTCTTCTGTTTCCTAGGTTTCTCTAAGCCTGTAACAACAAGCTGAGAGGATATCTTGCCCATTATAAAGCCAGACTCGTCAAAGTTCCAAGTATCCTCATCTGCGATACCATGCTTCGCCTTCATCGATTAAACAAGCGTGAACTAGGGCCTAATAATCGCTGGGTCCTCGCAGACAGCTCGCTGGTGATCGTACGGACGGCTCCATCGCGTTCGCAGCTTAGGTGTACGCTTAATGAAGTTATCAACCCAGTTCTTGCCTGTAGGCTTCCTACCACGCTCTCTCAGCAGTCTATCAGCCATATCTCGTACGTTTGCCTTCAAGGGCGGTATACCACGTAAACTCTCTTCAAGTATACGCTGTACAATCGCCTCCTCTTCTAGCTTTGTAAGGCGTTTTAAGTTCGGCTCACAATCGCGTCAAGAGCGTCGTCCAGCGCGTCGGTCAACAAGCGTTCTTCGTGGGACGTTATAGATTGCTGCAGCGCGTGCGTTGCTTTAAAACTGATGAGAATTAATACCTAAGATAGCAAGCTGTATATTGCCTTCATTGTAGGTTCTTTGGGTATTGCGTAGTTGTGACATTACGTGAAGTTGCTGTGCAGGCGCCGCGCTGGTGTTGGGGTGGCGACCCGCTTGTGTTGGCGACTCGCTTGTGAACCACGTTATAGTGAAAGTTGCATAAATCTAAGTCAAGAGCCCTTTGATAGCAAATTTGATAATAAGTGAGTCACTTTGTAAAGGAATCAGTAAAGGGAACTGTCGCACGGTTGGGTGCGGTGTTGCAAGTACGGAAATCATGAAGAGTGTGTAAGTTATTGTATTGTTCTTGCATCATAGCTCAGCTTATATTCAGGCCCTCGCACGGCATGCTTAGTAACAGAGTTTAGGTTCACGAAAGCGCTTGGCATGCGACACATTTAGTGTGTCCATCAACCAAGTAAGTTACTTGGTTGACACCAGGCTCCAAGCAACTATGGACCCTAAGATATATGACCATGGCCATCAAGCCCTCAATGGCGTTTTCCGCCAATCACCTGCGGTAGTGGGAGACACCCATGCGCTTCCACCTCGATCCTACTTCGGCGCCAAACAGCAACAACAACAATAGACTCGCGTCGACTAGCACGCAACGCGTACGCGTTTCTTCTGTCAACAAGCCGCTGCTATCTACTAAGTGTTATGGGCGGAAAGAGGCCTGCTAACGAGTATGCATTTGCTCCTATGTACAGAAGAAGAAGGATAAGGAAAAGAAGAGTAGCGTCCTCCTCGTACGGTATTTATCCTCCGTACGCTAATACAAAGATAGATAAGCGGGAAGTTCTTCGGCGTAGCCTCTTGTGGTACTTAGGCGTAGCCCCTTACAGCTAGATGCGCAAGGATTTGCGCCAACACTGCGTTCTGTAGAAGATATGGCCAACCAACTACGTGCTGCGCATGGTGACAAGCCTGTTGGCCCAAGATGGGCCTCAAACTTCGTTAAACGCGAGGGCGAGCTTAAATCCCGTTTAAATCGACAGCGCGATCGTCAGAGAGTCTTGTGCAGCGATCTAGAGGTTATCCGGCCCTGGTTTAACCCTTGTACGGAATGTTAAGGCTAAGTACAGCATACTGGACGAAGATACCTACAACTTTGACGAGACTGGCTTCACGATGGGCGTTGGAAACCGAGTTAAAGTAGTCACTGCTTCAGAGAGACGCACTGAGCCTATTGGCGTCCAGCAGGGAGACCGTGAGTGGGTGACTTTTATCGCCGCCGTCAACGCGATGGGCTGGGCAATCGCGCCGCACTAGTTCTAGCCGAGACGTCATGGATGCATCATGAACCGCGGCGCTTTCGATAGAACGCGAATCGACACTAAGACAATCAAAGCTTGGGTACTATACAATGTTGGCATGGTAGAATTGTCGAGGATGACCGTAATGGTTGCGTGTGATGATCTGTGAGGCTCAAGCATCGACGAATTGCAGGACCTCTTTCGCACTGAGATCGACTAGCGCTAAACTTCATTCAGCCACTAGCGTCTCCTCGCAACCTTGGAAAGGCATGAAACCTTCACTTTGTCGCTTGGCATCGGACTTGGCCCACGACGATGGTAATGCCAAATTGACGTCAAGCAATATGGCATTTGCTTCACTGTCATTGACAATCCCCGTCGATAAGACAACATGTCCCCGCTACGTCCATCATCCTCCCATCCTGAAACAACGAGTTCGTTGGTATGCGGCTCCTCCTCCATCGACAGACAATATGACTTCCCGCTTCAGACCCATCAAACGGCGCCCACGGCCCGCGCAAAGAGAAGACTACAACCCCACATATCTGCCGTGGAAGAAGCGCTTGGACCATTTCACCTGGTCATGGTTTGAATGCACCATGTCAACCGGCGCCATCGCGACGCTTCTTGGCCAACAACCATACAGTTTCCACGGACTGAAGACCATTGGAAAGATTTTCTTCATTCTGGATATCGTCCTCTTTCTCATGTTTAGCGCCTGTATTACCTACCGTTTCATCCACAATCGGGGCTCCCTCAAGCTCAGTCTGCACCATCCACACGAAAGCTTCTTCTTCGGAGCCTTCTTTGTCTCCATCGCACTCATCATCTACTGCATTGAGCTGTACGGCGTACCATCCTGTGGACCATGGCTCGTCAAGACATTGGAGATACTATTCTGGCTATACGCAGCCATCGTCCTCTTGGTCGCTGTCTTCCAGTACCACGTCATATTCGACCGACGCGAGCTTCCTGTTACCGACGCGATGCCCGCCTGGATTCTACCGGTATACCCTTTCCTTGTCCTCGGGGTCTTGGGCAGTACACTCCTAAAGAGTCAACCACCTGGGCCTGGGTTCAACATCTTTATTGGCAGCGTTACCTTCCAGGGCCTAGGCTGGATCATCGCATTTCTGATGTTGTCGCTCTACTTCACACGTTTGGTTAACAGCAACCTGCCTGAGATCCCCAAACGCCCCGGTATGTACGTAGCTGTCGGTCCAGCTGCATATACTGCAAATGCCTGCATCGCGCTTGGTTTGCAGGCACCGAAACATGTACCCGAAAACCTATTGGGCATTACTTCCTTCCCCGTCGGCGATGCTTTTAAAGCCTTCGGGTTTATCGTGGGTGTCTTCTTATGGCTCACCTCCTTCTGGTTCAGCGCCATCGCTACCATTAGCATTGTCATCAGTGCGAAGGAGTCGTATTTCACGCTGAATCATTGGGGCTTCATCTTCCCGAATGCCGGGATGACGATCGCGCTCATCTACATCGCCAACGCGCTGAATAGCCCAGGAATCAAGGGAGTGTGTAGTGCAGCAACTATCATCTTGGTCATACTGTGGATCTGGGTGGCGATCCTTAATGTAAAGGGTGTGTTGCAGAAGAAGGTGTTATGGCCGGGCATGGATGAAGACATGGAGGATATTGAAGGACACGGTCACAAGCCGGGCTCGGACCAGAAAGACGGTGATGGGGAAGTATAGGAAGCTGAAACTATTCACGTGAGATGAAACCTATCGAATGCAGCCTACAATAATGTTATTAATGGAATTAGGTGCGTTGTTTACTGATGAGCTACCTCCACCAACTGCCAGCGCAATTGTGACGAGCGCAGCCAGCGCACCCTCATATCTTTCATGCAGCCCTTCCCTGCAACCACACCGTTGACCAGAGTCCGCAACAATCAATCCGGATTGTGAGATTGATCTTGTAAGATTGCCAGATTGAAGCTACAATCAAATCAAGAAGCTAGTCTTCAGATTAGTAGCTCAATCAATCAATCCGTGACGTCTAGATTGCCAGATTAATGAGATTGTGCTGCTGCTGTAGGGGTGGCGGGTGAAGGATAGATAAAGAATGGAGTTTCTCGTGATAGCGCGTCGTGACGCGTCGTGCCAAGTCATATTAGCGGAGCTCCTCTAAACCTTCTATCATCCACCTATATCTTTCGTTCTTAACAACGCGTTACAATGCCTCCCCGATTTCAAAAGAAGCGCAGCGGCGCACCTACAGTTGCTGTTGAAGTTACTAAACGACTGCGCCTATCGCAGCGATCGCCGTCGCCCCGAGAAGCCCTGGCTAGCCAGGCCACCGAGTCGCCGTCTGAGCCAGCGTGGGAAACGCAATTTTTGGAGTCGCAACCTGAAGCTGAGATCACCGCGCCCACCGAGGGTAGCCACGCTGGCACTGGATCAATAGCAGACGACGCTGGCGCTGGCGCTAGCCGATCGACGTGGGAGACTGACGGTGCCGATCACTTTGATGGGATTAGCTGGGAGCGGCTGAAGCAATACATGAAGCCAGTAAAGGCGCCAACAGGCAAGAAGAGTTGGATATATCAGCATGGCTATCGCGTTGTCAAGCGGAGCAACCCCAAAAGCGTGTGGTTTGTATGCGGATACTGCCATTCTCACAAGGTCTTCGGTGGTGGTCTATACGATATAACGAGAGCGACGTCTGCAGCAGCAACTCACCTCCGGAAGGCTGCACGAGTCCATGGCCTGTCTAACGATTTCGACGTGAAAAGCAGCATCGCGTACGGGCAAGGTCAGCTATCGCTGCAGCAGGCGATCGACGGCGGCGTTGAACTATCCCAAGAAGCAGTCAACGTGTTTGGCTACTGTAACGTACAACAGTTTCGACTTGCCTTTGTTCTCTGGCTCGTCGACAACAATATGCCAATGGAAGTAATCGCGCGGCAATCGACGCGCGATATGATTAAGTTCGCCAACCCCATATATGACTATCGTGGTTGAACCACATTAAGAATCGCTCTAGACCATACCATATTAGTATCGTCAAAACCATACCACGTTAATTATGGTGTTGAACCGCGTTAAAAACCGCGTTAAGTACATAAGCATTAATTTGAACGTGTTGGCGTGGTTACTTGCTTTAATACCAATCTATTCCACCCGCTCCCTCATCCACAACACCGAGGAGAGTTTCCTGAAGCTCTGGATCGATCGGTAGACCCATTCCACTGTCCCAGACCGGCTTAATGTGCCTCTGTCGTATCCAGTTGCCGATACACTCGATCATCTCGATAGTTCTTAGCTAGAGGTGAGGAGAAGAAGTAGATGTTGGTTGAGTTGCTAGCTATCTAAATGTAGGGCTTTATATACACAGTGATTTCTAAACAGACTATTCTAGGATGGCCTAGAATGGCTGACACTGATAGCCGTTAAATACATCAAATCTACAGAAGTGATAACTAATCGGTAGTGACTACTGCCTGTAGCATGATAGTCTGCCTGTAATATGATAAAGGGGCGTTTCCCGGTTCGTTGTTGCCTGTCGGCATCAAGAGCTGTATCTCTGCATCCAACATGTAGTACCTGCCAAGCCATTAATGCGTTTTGCGGTTGAAACACGTTAAGTTAATGGACTAACCTGGTTTAGACTCAACACCATCAAACCGCGGTTAGATATAAACCAGGTTTAGAACCACGTTAAGGTGGTCATGTATGGCCAACCCAGAGGCAGAAAGCGCGCTGTGGCGAAGCCCTCGCAGTGTCGCAACCAGTGATCGGAATGGTCCGGTATGAGTTGGTATTGGTATGGTATATACCGCCAAGACCTGGTATGGTTTGAGAAGATCTCAATACCATGGTATTACCGGTATACCAGGTCATACCGGTAAGGCTAAAAATGGGCCGAGGTTAAGAAGCTCGGGGCAGCAGGCGGCTGGATTCCCGACTAAACTGGCTAGTGCATCCGAAGAAATCCTTAACCTGGACTAACAATCGTAGTCTACGATAGCCTCTTATACCATTATCATGGAATCTCCAGTTCCAGTCTCGCCGTCATCGTTGACGACACGTTCAGCGTCAATGTCCCTCAGGACTCCTACATCATCACCTGCTCCCACATTACCTGTCTCGACGCCATCACCTGCCCCTATTCAATATCCCGAACCTCCGCATGAGTTTGTACAAGACTACATCACATACCTGAATCGCGCGAAGACGACAAAGAAGGCAGCTCGTCTAGGCTCATCGCATGTATGGAAGTATGGTCTCCATTACATTCGAGACAGTAATAAGAAGGAGGTGTATTACTGTCACGAGTGTGCTGTTGGAAAGTTTAGGCAAGAGCTGTTTGTTATTAACGGCACGTCTGGAGTGAGAAATCATCTTAAACAGAAGCACCAGATTGATCCCAAGAGTAGTATCAAGAATCATAGCTCGACACGGAAGTCTGTACTAGAGCAGTAGAAGCGCGCGGCTACTACTAATACCTTCTTCTGGAAAGACTTAATTAAGAAATTCAAAGAGCTTCTAATTCGGTGGATTGTGTACTGCCATATTGCTTTCTTTCAATTAGAAAATCAGTATTTCCGAGAACTACTCTTATTTTTAAATCCGGCACTTCTCAACTACCTCCTAAAGGCAGCAAAAACTATTCGAAGTTGGGTTATGGACGCGTTTCTGTCGAAGAAGCAACGGCTTAGAGAGGACCTCCAGCACTCGCGGAGTAGAATCTCCATCTCCTTTGACCTCTGGACTTCGCTAAACCCTTACGCTATTCTAGGTGTCATCGCTATGTGGATTGACGCTACCAGCAAGCGGCGAACTATCGTTTTAGGTTTACGACGTGTGTACGGCGAACACACTGGCGAAAACATTAGATCAGTTGTCCTTAAATTGCTGAGAGAATATAATATTAGCGGAGATTAGATTAGATACTTTATGCTAGATAATGCCTCGTTAAACGATACCGCTGTTGAGTTCATACTCAAGGATCTCTGCCCATAGATGAAGTCAAAACAACGTCGCTATCGCCGGCTGCGTTGCTTAGGCCTGTCAGATAGCATGTGTTGCTGTCTGATGGAAGGCCATCCAGCAGGCAATTTAGCATCAGTGTCGATTGCAGCCATGTTAGCCGACCCGCCTCGATCCTACTTCGGCCTTATTTGTACGAGAGCATATACATCGTAATAGCACCACCTTCCAGGGAGGGGAGATGAAAACAATCAACATCTATTAATTCTATGCATTATCTCATCTAATCTAACAAGGCCACATTATCAACCTCTGCTGCCAGGCGTTCCTCATGGGTCGGAACTGTGAAAAGTATGTAGCAAAGCTTGAAAAGCACTATCAACGCGGAGACTATACGAAGGTAGAAGAGCTCTGGAAAAGATTTGGATGTTTAGGTCGGCTTCATAACCTCGTGCGGTACATTAGGCTAATTCCGCAACGGCGTGAGGAGTTTGCTGCGATAATTATCAGCGGAGATCTTACTAAATTCGATGGGCTCGAGCTTATCCAGAACAACTCGACACGCTAGAACTTATGGTTTCATTCGATTACACGTGCTTTGAATGTTCGCGAACGTTTAGAGCTCTTCTCGGCTCGCTATGTACCTAGGAAGGGCTCTTATAGGATTGCGAACTTTAAACTTAATAGACAGCACTAGTTCGAGCTTAAAAAGATTAAACTTGCTCTAAAAGACTTCTACGCTGCAACTTTGCTTTCTAAGGGAAAAAGGACTTCCCTCGCTAACTAGTTCTTAACCTTAGACTGCCTTCTTTAAGAAATAAACGAGATAAAAGATTACTACTATAACATCCATACTAAAGACGACAATAACTTCACATAGAAGTACCTTTAAAGTTGTGCAGATGCCGCGTAGTTAAAATGCGAGGAATATTACAACAATTAGCAGCTGAATTGGCAGCATTGATTCCCTAAAAATACTGATCTTCTACTAGCGTACTATGCAGCTTAAATACTCAATCTATATCGCAAGTGGGCATAGTTTAGGCAAGAATGGGTTCTTAAAGGTAACGAAGAAAAGCAGAGGTGGTTTTATAACGCACAATCGGCCGTAAAGCAGCTCTAGGAGACAGAGTATAAGGGAAGGTACCTTGTTAAGATGCTACTACTACCAGTTAGGAAGGAGAGAGATCCTGACCTAGCATTTGATCGCCAGAGGGAACACAAGCGTATTCGAATAGATGCTCCGGTCTCTACAACTAATTTGTATGAACAGTACATCTCTACTAACTAGCTTTATAACGAAGAGGCAGGTTGCGATAAGGCTATTGCGTACTAGCTATCTCGCTACGACTCCCAAAGAGATCTCGCTCGCTTCGCTCTAGACATGTTTGCGATCTCGCCTATGTCGGATGAATGCGAACGTCTTTTTAGTAGCGCGAAGCTTACTGTTGTTAATCGCCGTGGTAGGCTGAAGGCAGATATTATAGAGGCTTGTGAATGTCTCCGGGCCTAGTATGGAAGGCCCTAAATTGAAGATAACAGCAATAGCGAGGATAGTGAGAATGGCGATGATATAGTCGATATCTACTAGTATATACATTCTCTTTCTTCCTTCTACAACTTTAACCTTATTCTTGGCGGTCTTGGCGGTCTTACTAGTCTTACTAGTAAGACCATACTGGTTATTACATAAGCAGCTGGTATGGTATGGTTTGACCTCTATACCATACCATACCGGACCATTCCGATTACTGGTCGCA